CAAGACCCTAATTATACCCATGAATTCCTCCCCTTCCTTAGAAAAAGAAAGAAGACCCTATTTTCCCCTCAGTAACAGTGTCCTTTAGGGCTTGTGCTAAGAATATATTTTTCCATATGTCTGTGAGTCAGTGTGTGAGCCTGATCATCGCTGCCTAATGAACACAACATGAATTCCCACTAGAAGTCAACTAATGGGTACTTCAAGTGCAATTTTCTGTGCGTGTTAAATGAGTAAGCTGAAAACTTCACTGTTCTGAAGCTCCTTTGGTGAGCAGGGAAATATTACAAGGGGTTTTGAACAAGTCTTTGCTTAGATTACAGTGCCATAAAAGAAAAATTACGCTATAATACTGCCCCTCCATAGTATAATTGGTTTTTTTTTGGATGCAAGATTTTTTTAGCATCCATTTAAATCATAGTCGATTATCTCTGTAACACTGCCTAAAAATGAAAACTGGTACTTAAACTAGTTTGAAATTTCAATAATTGTGAATAATTTTTAACCACATATGATATATTCTATGGGGTTCCATAATAGCTTATACATGTGCAGATGGCAAGGAAACAAAATAAATTGTGTCTTTATCAAAAACCATGTATTCTTCATTGTAGCCAAGATTGTCTTTGTCCACAAAAAGTACAGGAAATTGAACATGAAATAATGAAGGCTTAATATTTGTGCACTGCTGGAGTGCTTCTGGGTGATTATATTTTAACAAAAGTTAATGGCCAAATAATGGAAATAATGAGCTAAAGTGAAAATCCAATATGAGTTTGATGAGCAGAACATTCTGAATAAAAGTATACTAGAGAAAATCCCCATGGAACATTTCACATCTTAGTACTCCTGGAGCTTATTAGTTTTAGTATGAAAATGGACATGATTGATAAAGGAACCTAAATGGATATGTGCTGGTGATCTTTAAAAGTGATGGGACAAAACCCGGAGATTCCTTAAAACATAAAGAAAAAAGAAAACAGCCAAAAATAAAAATCTTTAAAAGGCTTCTCTATTTCCGTTATCTCCCCAGGTATATTCACCTATATGCGCATAGCCTATAATGCTGATCATGGAACAAATAAATATTCAGCCTGCTAGTATAGAAACTGTCCCAAAGACACTGAACTAGGAATAGGTAAGGTTGGTGAAAATGGCCATACCAAGAATCGATGAGAAGTGGAAGTCTGGGGCTCCAATGGACAAAAAAATGTCAATTTAGGGACACAGATCAAAGAATAACAAAGTTATCACACTGAGCACCTAAAAGACTCCTTTAATCCTAGATAATAACTTAAATTTTACATATCCTTCCCCTTAATTACTGGAGAAATAAAAGTGGTAAAAAATTTCCAGAACTATGGATAAAAATTGAAGTCAGGATTCAAATGTTTAGATGATACCATCATCATGACCACCAACACCACTATCATCATCAGCAGTGGCATCATCATCACAAATAACATTCATTGAACACTTATTAAATGCCATACACCAACCAGTGTATTTTACATATAAAATTTCATTCAATTCTCACCACAGCCTGGTGAGGTTTACTCTTTTGGATTCCAATTTAACAAATACGGAAATAAATAACGTATTGTAACCTCATAGTCTGTAGGATAAGCAGAGCAACTAAGTCCTATTTTATACACTGGGTTGTACTGTTACCCACAATCTTAAAGTGCTTTCTAAATTATGAATGCTATACATTTTAAGCAAGTCATCATTATGATTAATAATATGATTTACTGTTGGAGTTCATATTGAAAATTCTGTAACATAAACAACTCATTCTATGATATAAACAGCAAACCACTACAAACAACTCACAAGCTCTAATATAATCTGTTTTCTCATATACTTTAGATGTATTATTTAGGGCCAAATGAATGAAATACTTTGTAATATATAAACAGGCAACTTATTTGTTAATCAGATTTTTTCTAAAAGTCATATCATGTTCTAGTTATTACTTATTGAATTTTAAATTTTAGGATAATGATTTAAATATTTCTTTAGTGAAACAGGTACATTTAAAAAAGCTGTGTTTTGAAGATCCCACCCCCCTAAAACAAACAAAACAAAACAAAACAAAACAAAGCAAACCTGAAAGGCTGAATCAGAATTTGACAGAAAAAAATAAGCCAATGAGTTATTTGGCATCCTGTTGATAACATAAATGATTTACTAGTAGCCTTCAGTTGTAACATCTCATTTATAGTTTAAATTGCAGTTAACCCCAGGTTCAAATTCATTTTCTGAGTTTCTGATGTTTTCAGATGATTAGATATTTTTCTGCAACTGTAATATTTCATTACCTTTTTATGCCATTGTTCCTAACATAATTTTATACTTTCAAATGCTATATTTCTCACATTTAAATGTTTCC